TATAGGGCATGTGAGTTTTCTATGCCTAACTGATCATGTTATCCCCTTCTTGAGCCAAATCTGATGAAAGTAAGGTTCAAACAATGCTCATCTCCCTCCCTTCTTTCCCTCTGCTATAATAGGTTTTTGTGCCTTTTCCTGTGATGTAATTTACCCTTGTGTGCCTCCTCCTTTCCTTTTCTCTCAGTACATTTTCTTAGATCAGATTAATTCACTTGCTTGGATCCATTTAACCCACTTGATTAGATTTTTTTCATCATTACATCAAAGTCAATTTATACCCACCCCCTTTATGTATACCCCTTTAACATGGTGTAATAACAATACATTTCTCCAGAGAAGTGTCACCTTCCCTTGTAGGGATATAAACAATTTGGCCATGTTAATAACATGTTGTTATTTACCTTTTTATGTCTCTCTTGAGTCTTGTATTTGAAGATCAGATTTTCTGTTGAGCTCTGGTATTTTTATCAGGAAGGTATGGAAGTCTCCTATTTCGTTGAATATCCATTTCCTCCCCGGAAAGATCATGCTCATTTTCTCTGGATGAGAGGCTGGGTTCTTACTAGTTACTCATTGCTGGTGGGTGGTGCTTGCTGCTGCTGTAAAGTGATGGAGGTGAAGGGAACACAGAGAATTTCACCCATGCAGCTGGTGGTGTAGGTGTTGTGGTTGTGGTTAGGTTATAATTGCTCTGAAAAGCCTATGCCTGGAATATAAGGGGAGAGGTTGCACAGCAGAGGGGAGGGTTGTGAAAGGAGTGTTGGGTGAAATGAGGGTGAGGTTGTATTGAAGTTAAGCCTTGTGATTGGCTATCATGTCGTGGGTTTATGTGAGTCCATCTGCCCACCCTCTGGTTATCCCATGGAGGATTGTGCTATAATCCATTGAAGATGTAGGGTGACCATTTCTACCTACTTCAGCAGACACTGAGCTAAACAATGGTCTTATTAGCTGCATCTTGGTCAGTTGAGAGCTAGTTTAAACACATAAGAGTTTCCACAGACAATATTTTATATAATTAAATAATCCATTAGTTTTATAACTATTTCTTCCTTCTGTATAAATTATAACCTAACCATATCTTTTCATTCTCTGTAGTCCTTATCTATAACTCTGTTCATTTGATAATGATAATAGTGTTTGGTTTTTATTATAGTGCCTTAAGATTTGCAAAAAGCATTTTATGTAACATTTTATATGTGAGATAGATACCTGAGCTTCAGGGGAATGAAATGACTTGCCCCATGGTCACAGTTAGTAAATGTCAGAGTCAGAACGTCAACTTAGATTTCTCCTAACTCCAGGTCTAGCGCTCTTCCCACTATATCACGCTTGCTCTAGTGCTTTCCCCAGATAGATGTCCTAATTTAATGATATAATCCATCCAACTGTGTCATAGTCCAGTAGAATTTTTTAAAATCCATTTTATTTTCCCTGTGTGGATTATGTATCAGTAACTATTCTCAGTAGCCCTGTGCTATAGAGGTTGATATGGGAGCAGTGCCAGGGAGGCTAACTGAACTACTGTGTCTAACTCTCCATGGCCCCATTTTGGGGATTTTCCTGGCAAAGATACTGGAGTAGTTTGCTGATTCCCTCTCTAGCTCATTTTATAGATGAGGAACTGTGGCAAATAAGGTTAAGTGACTTGCCCAAGGTTACAAAGCTAATAAATGTCTGGGGCTGGATTTGAATTCGGGAAGATGAGTCTTCCTGATTCCAAGTCCAGTCCTCTATCCTCTGTGTCAGTTGCCCTTGTGTAGGTATTATTTGTATTTTATATATGGAGCATTTATGCTTCTATTCCTTGAGGACCATTATTAGTTCTAATCTTTGGCATATGTTCATAAAGAGCAAGCACAGCGCTGTGCACCCTTTGGGTTCTAAAATAAATATTGTCTTACTTTTGTTTTATTTTGATAGTTCTGTATATTGCTTTAGTGAGTTTTTTTTATTAATTTATTTTGATTTATCAACAATCACTTCCATAAGCTTTTGATTTTAAATTTTTTCTCCCCCTCTTTCCCCCTCTCCCTCTCCAAGATGGCACACAATCTGATGTAGGCTATACATTCCTATTAAACATGTTTTCACATTAGTGATGTTGTAAGGAAGAGTTAGAACCAATAGGAGGAACCACCAGAAGGAGGAAATAAAACAGAAGAAAAAAATAGCAAATAGTGTGCTTCTATCTGCATTCAAACTCATAGTTCTTTCTTTGGATGTGGATAGCAGTTTCCATCATGCGACCTTTGGAGATGTCTTAGATACTTGCATTGCCGAGAAGGGCTAAGTCTATCAACATTAGTCATCGCATAGCATGGCTGTTACACAACAGCCATTTCCCAATTGATGGACATTCCCTCAATTTCCAGTTCTTTGCCACCACAAAAAGAGCTGCTATAAATATTTTTGTACATGTGGGTCCTTTTCCTTTTTGTATGATCTCTTTGGGATATAGCCCTAGAAGTGCTGTTGCTGGGTCAAAGGGTATGGCTTTAGTGAATTTTTAAGCTAATCTTGTATTCAGTACTCAACTATATATTCATTTAAAATTTTTTAACTGAAGTTAAGAATTAATAATTCTTAATGGAATTATGATTATTAACAGATAAAGGGAAATTTCTGATTTAAAACTTTGTAGATTTTTGGGGAAGGAGGTGGGGTGGGGCACCTGGACCTGTAATTTCTTTGATTTAATAAACTCTACCAATGCAGAGCCTCATGTAATCTACAGCAGTGCCTGGGGGCACTGAGAAGGACTGATGGCCTGCTCAGGGTCATACAGCTAATATGAGTGAGAGGAACTTTGTGCATTCCATAGTGCAGAAAGTAAGGTAATACCTGGATTTTAATCCTAGTGCATTTACTAGCTTCATGCCTTTTGGCAGTTTATTTAATCTATCTGGGTATCAGGTTTCTCATCTCTAAAGTTCGTATGTTGGACTAGGTAACATCAAAGTTCTTAGTTCCTGTTGTGTATGCCAGACCCTCCTAGATGGGCATACAAACACAAGAATGAACATCCCTCTCCTCAATGCACTGTTTTCCCTGCTTCCCCTAAGGGGAAGGATCAGGCAGCTGCTCTCCCTGCCTCCAGAGCACCACTCTTTAGTGCCTCAAGGCTTGAAGGTTTATAAGAAGCAAAAGAAGCTTTCACTTACTTTGCCTCCCAGCCAAGCCTACCTACCACTGTCAGCTGATGGGTCGGGCTGACTCCTCACTGCTACTGGTGAGAATACTTAGAGTAGTGTCCTGTTACCCAAAGAAAATGAAAAGGAAGCATAGTTTGGTTCAGGGTAGAGATAGAATGATAGCTAATATAGTCTCCCTTCTCCTATCCAACTAGTATTCTGGTTTAATTCATTAGTTCTATTTCCATAGTAAGAAATTACATGTAACTTGTGCAAGAAAATTCCTTCCAAAATGCAGGATAAAAAAATAGCATTAGAGTTAAGATAAAACGGAATAATGTACCTATTTATAAAAGAGAAATTTTGATCTCTTGAATAAGTGAGAGAAATTAGTTGGGGACAATGTAGAAAATGTTCAGAATTTTATACGAACAAAGAAGCAAAATTTATAAATCAACATTGGGGAAAGTGTGGCAAATATATTACAGAAAATTTGGCATTTATATGTGTAAGGAACTGATTCAATATAAGATTAAGATCCACTCCCAACTGGTAAATGATCAAGAGGCAACTTATTAAAATTTTTTTAAAAAAGATTACAAATGCTTGAAAAAATGTTCAACCTCTCAAAAAAAAACCCCATCTTAAAGCGCTCTGAGGTTCCAGCAGAAACACAGCTAGCTCTAGTCAGAGGACCTAGGTACAAATCTCACTTCTAGTACTTTTTACCTTTGTTACCTGGCTGAAGTTAGCTCACTCTCTGAGACTCAGTTTTTTCCTCTGTAAAATGAGAGGTTGATTGAGATAACCCTGTAAGGTCCCTTCCAGCTCTAGGTCTGTGACCAAAATTAGTAAAAATAATAAAATTCGATCCTTCTGTACTTGAGGTAAAGAAAGTATGCTTTTGCATTGCTTAGTTCATACTTATATATTACCATGTAGTGGAATCCTTTTGGAGATCAATCTGGTAGAATACCAGAATACCCCCAAAAATCATACTGTCTGCACTCGGTCCTGCCTTTGGAATTATTGTAGGATTATGGAAAAAAGTCTCTAAAAGCACAGTTGCTTATATTAGTGAAAAATTATGAACAGCCTAAATATTTAAGCTTAGGGGTGGCTAAAAAATCTAGTATGTCAATATAATGGAATATGATATAATTAAGTGAAAAAATAGAAGCATAAAGAAATATGAAAATATGAAATATTCTAAAGTAAAAAGATAACCAAAAGAAAAGTATAGGTGTAAAGATAATGGAAAGGTACACCGAAAAGTTTTTTTTAATATTTTTATGTTAAAGTTTTTATTAAAAAATGTAAATAGTTCAAAATGTATATTTAATCAGTTTTGTTTAATGTTCATATTTTACGAACTACAGCACGAGATGCTTATAATTCCTTTTAAATGAAGTAAGCGTTTCATAATAAAATTTAAAAAGAAAAATGGTATAAAATGTTTATTCCTTTTCTCAAGAGAGAGATTTCTTAATATTGGTTCATTTCATATTTAATGAAAACTTTTCAGTTGTAACATTTTCTTTCAATGTTATTATGGGAGATGATGTTTTGGTGGTATATTGAACAACAGTGCTACTTTGACTTAATTTAGTGGATTTGGAAAATCTACTGTTTTACATGGTACAGTGGAATAAGTACTAATTATGGAGTCGTAGTAATTGGATTCAAATCTCAGCTCTGGTGCTCACTACCTGTGTGGTCCTGGTCAAGTCACTTGACCTCTTTGGCCCTCAATTTTCTCATCTGTAAAATGAGTGGCTTTGAGCTAGATGGCTTGTAAGGTGCCTATGAGCCTGTGACTGATGAGATGGGCTTAGTGTTTTAATTTTGATTTGTCTTTTCTAGGATACAGCAGGTCAGGAGCGCTTCAGAACACTGACACCCAGCTATTACAGAGGTGCACAAGGTGTTATATTAGGTAAGCATTTTACTTCTCTGTGATAATGTAAAAATCTGGATATGTGGTTTTTTGTTGAAATTAAATATTTTTAGAAAATTCTCGTTTTATTAAATCTTGTATTTAAAAATCTTCTTTTTCTTCAGTGCCATATCTTTAATTTTGAAGTGTTTATTCATACTAAGAACCATATAGTAACTACTCCTCAGCTACCTTTCCTTCAAAGGATAAAATCCAGGCTAATTTACTTAATTGTTAGTGCAGAATGTTAATGAAGACAATATTACAGAGTCAACATAAGTATTAGACCAGCTATCTTTAGGCAGAGAGAAACTGATGTTTTGGCCAGTGGTTTACTCAATGCATGCCTTTGGTCACAAGATTGATGAGGAGAAAGAAAGAATATATATGGCCCAACACAAACCATTTACCACTAGTAGAAAACAATTCAAGGCATTTGACCTTGCTGATCCTTATGCAAAGGGCAGTATATGCTTTTTATTGACAGTCCTGATTTTGCAATATGTGTCATGTTATAGTAATCCACATCTAGCTGTTTTGTTCACCATTTATCCTAATTACCCTTGATTTCTGTCTACCCCTCTTCATTTCAAACATTCCAGACTCCTAAATTACAATGACCTGTGAAGAACAGCATACACTAAAAGACCTAGGAGTTTGGAAAAGAAAAAGAAGAGTGAAGGTCCATGAATGAAACCACCTACTACTTTCCCTTGTACATTAAAGACAATTTGCTCAGTAGCTTACTGCCCTCTGCCAACTTATAATTCCTTGAAGTGTGTTTAAAAAAATTTTCAGTGCAGGACATTTGAATATGCAAATGAAAATTTTTTCCTAGCAAGTTTTGTACCGTAGTTGTATAAAATGGATTTTTGTAAGGTGTTAATGAGGAATATACAATTCTTATCATTTGCAAAGCTTTAATTTCATTTTTGTTAATCAGGAAAATGATTCTTAACATTTCCAGCTTCATTTCTTTTCTCATAAATAGGAATGCTGTAAACACTATATGACTGTATTTTCATATGTTATTATTAGGAGCAATAAGATTAAGGTAATAGATAGTAAAAAGAAAACGAGCAAAGGACAGAATAAGGAACACAAATTTGGTCATATGCAGCATATTTTTCTTGAAATGTAATAGTTGCAGGTCTGGAAGAAACTGGCTAGGAGGTTAATGAGAGGTTAAATGCTTTTGAAATCTCTTAGTATTTTACTGAGGATTTACATATAAACATGGTTTGACTTAGGCTCAAACTTACAAGCAAGTTAAAAGTAATGTTGCTAATTTATATTCATTAAGTTGTTGATCATACAGCTCTTACTACTGTGGTTAGAAGTAATTGCTGTTTTGCCATCAAGTGGAATGCATTATCAAGAGTCTGGTTTTTATAGCCACTAAAGGTGAATTTTTATTATAACATTTTCATCTGGATAAAGTAGATAATAGTAACCGTAGCTGAAGATGTGAGGTGTTTGTTGCAAGTTTTAACATTTAAAAATTCTTTTCCTCCTTTTAATGTGTATTTTGTGGCTTTTAAACCTTCTGTTTCAGTTTATGATGTCACAAGAAGAGATACTTTTGTTAAGCTGGATAATTGGCTAAACGAATTGGAAACATACTGCACAAGAAATGACATAGTAAAAATGCTAGTTGGAAACAAAATTGATAAGGTAAGAAGGTAGAAAAATTGACCATTTAGCCATATGTTATAGAGCTTTTATTAATACTTAGGTTTTTCTTACAGGAATACCGTGAAGTTGATAGAAATGAAGGGCTGAAATTTGCACGGAAGCATTCCATGTTATTTATAGGTAGGTTTATAAAGTTATGTGTTCTGACTGGGGCCAAGATGTAATTATGTAGTTTTTACTCATTCAGATAGTGTCAAGTGAGTGAGTTCTGGGGTCAGGAGCACCAGGAATTTGTATTCTAATACTCGTTTTGTGGATGGCAGTTTAATCTTGTGGGAATCATCATGATGCTAAGTTAAACTGAGCTAGTAGATGTGAAAAAACTTTGGACCTAAAGGTATTACATAAGTATCAGTGGTACTGTATCTTAATGTTTGAGCTTCTTGTACCAGGCTGCCTGAAGATTCCTCCTTAATATGAAGTAGTCATGTTAGGTCATATTAATTAAATATAAATATTTAATTCTTTTAAGTACTTGAATCAGTTCACGTGTTTGACAGAAGGTCCTAGGATTTTATTTCCTAGATTATGTTCCTGATTTTGTCTGGTTTTGTGTTTAAAATAAACTTTAGTTTTGCATTCTAAATTGTCTAAATGTTGAAGAACCAGTAATTTTGTTAAATTGTATCAGCTAGCTTATTTTTTTCCTTATTTGCTTGGCGTTACAAACACCAAATGAAAAATTAGGTTACTTTTATCCTCCTTTTACAGTGTAATTGAATCTTTCTTATAGGGCAGACTTGCATGAGTTTAAATGAGCCAGCCACTCATTAAATCATAATCTCTTAGCTAAACCTACATGTAATGAGAAACTCAATAGGCAGGGTTATTTCTGTCTCTGAAATCAAGTCCATGTAATATCCAGAGTTTTGGGTTACAGCCCAGAGCAAGTTATTGAATATTAAGTATAATATAGATTATGAGACCCTGGTTGATATCTGTTGTTTTTATAATACAGTTTTGAGAGATAAGTCAGGAAAGACTAACGAGAGACCCGTGGGAAAGATTGCCAGTGTGACAATAAACCTTGGGAAGATAAGATGACTTAATGCCAAAATAATTACCAGCAAAAATTCCCAGTAATACAGAAACAGAGAGGAAGTTGTATGTTACTTCCAGGTGCTTATTTTTCTTTTGCAAGAAAGATGAATGTTATTTTTTTCCCCATGTTTTAGAGGCTAGTGCAAAAACCTGTGATGGTGTACAATGTGCCTTTGAAGAACTTGTTGAAAAGATCATTCAAACCCCTGGACTGTGGGAGAGTGAGAACCAGAATAAAGGAGTAAGGCTATCACACAGGGAAGAAAGCCATGGAGGAGCATGTGGAGGATATTGTTCTATGTTATAAACTCTGGGAAGGTCTATCTTTTGTGTTTTTGATCAGATAGTGTCATCTTTCTGTATATAAACTTCTTAACTGCTATTTTAGGGACCTTGCAGTTTGCACATATTTGTTTTGTATCATGGCGAACATTTATAAGAAAACACTCATCAGCTTTCCCAGGTAAAAATGTTTATGGTAAGCATGCACAAATTGCAACCTTCAGTCTTTTATGTAACATAAAATGGGTGTGCATTAGCAGGTGCACTCGATTTTATGACCTACATTCATCATGTATTTTTTTTAATCCATCCAACAAATATCTGTTGTAAAGCTGTCTGTCTGCATTTTGGTCTCCTTTTTTGGTTAATTTTGTCTGATTATTGGATTGCTTTGTATAACTCCTAGAAACCCTGGGAGCTATAAGTATAACAGATCTATTCCTGATGAATTCCTTTGCAGGTTTAACAGCATGTTCTTACAGCTTCTCTAGGAAGTTGATGTTATAGCTTTCTTTTTTAAAAATTTTTTTTGGGGGTTATTTAGCAAAAGCTCAAGACGCGTTATGGCTGCGGCGAATTTATAGTCACCTGCATTTGTCTGATGATGCTTCTGAACTAGCAGTGAAATAACAGAATTGGGACCTACTTTTTAATTCACTTCAATAAATAACTCAGTTGCTTAACTGGAGTTTTAATCCTGTGATATATACCTTAGATTCCTGGCACTTTTGCACTGCAGGTTTTATAGTGCAGTGTCTGATAGTGACAGTCGAGTTCTTTCCCCCACTTTGTTTCCAGAGAGATATGAAATTAGTGTGTTCATTGTGATTTGTTCATATAGTACTTAGCACATTTAAAACCAACTCTTTTTCTTAAATGTTGGTAGTGTTTGCCCAAGTATCTCAACTATAGCTTGTTTAATGTTATGAAGATATGTATCGTATGATCGCTTTAAATGGCTAGTTGATATTCTGAACCTTATTTCTATGTTTTGGGGGTCAGGGAGAAAAGCACGAAGTGACAGTTTGAGAAAAGGTGTTATATAGCTTCAGGATTCTGATGTGTGGGGAAATACTGTTGCAATGAAAATCTTGAATTTACTGTAACAAGTAGCAGTGGTTTATCAAAACTAACTTGTACAGACTAATAAATCTTTTCCAAAGTATTCAATTTTCTAACCTCTTGGTATTATATACTTGTATATTTTTTACATACACATAAGTTTATTACATATTGGTTTCTGTTATTTTATGCCAAAAATAAGGGTTATTTTCCCTTGAAAGCCAGTCACCATAATACATGACAGCAAACAACTAGTATTCTTGTCTTGGAAATTTGTTGTACATATGAATTTAGAACTCTTAAGCATTTTATATATTTCACCATCATAATGGGTGTATTTTTCTTAAAGAGTAGATTTCATTACAACCTGGTCTCTCAGATGCATTCTCTTCACATAAAGCCTCACATTCTACTTTGTTTACATTTGCTAGATAGCATTATACATCATGCTGAGTGGGTTTTTTAAACTGAATATTGTATCATTAATATTGAAATGTTGGAAGGAGGTAGATAATTCCAATGTGTACTTGTCATTTGTTCGTGTTCCATTAAAACTTTAGTTCATACTATTGAGTTCTTTATACAATGCATGTGTTGACATAATTTTAAAAAATTTTTCTGTTCCATAAAGAACTGTAACTATACTCTTTTTGTGGACTGGGTTTTTAACTTAATTTTATTGGCAGAATTTAGTTATTAAATGGCATCATATAACTTTTATAAGACCATTTATATTGTAAGCTTTTACAATTTTAAAAAATAAATAATTCATAGCCTGCTTTTCCCCAGTGTACCTGTGCAGGTTATGCACATTTTCCTGTTTCCAGTTATCAAATAAGAAGCCAGTGATCTTGATGGTAGTGATGAGCTTTTTCTAAGTTATAGGGTTGGCATTTTGCTGCTCACTTAATGGAATTTTAATATTTAGGAATCTATTTTCCTGATCGCTTTGATAGATCATTTAAATAAAGATTTAGTATATCACTATCCTTAGAATTGTGTTTAAACAGTATCCCCATCTTGATTATTAGAAGCATTTAGGAATTAAGTATATATTAAATACAGATCTTTGAATATTAAAAAGAGATGTCTCTTTAGTCTAGGATCACTCATGTGGATGCAGTCAAAAGAAAACATCTGTGTCGATACTTTTATGTCACATACTCAGAAGATCTGTATGTCCCTTTTGTGGGCAATTCCTCTACCAGTGCAGACTAAAATCCCTCCATACCCTGGTACACATAACTTCATGAATTGATGTGGCTAGCCTTCTACTGATGAGCCTCTCACAGCTTAATAAGATTGGTCATAGAGCAATTAGAACATAGATTTAGAGCTGAAGAGACCTCAGAAGTTACCAAAAACCATCTCATTTTGCAGATAAGGAAACTGAAGCCCAAAAAGATTGATTTGTTTCAACTCATAGGAGTATGAGAAACATGAAGTACCTAGGAGTATAAAGCAGTTTGTCTGTTTTCATTTTCTAGACAACTCAGAACTTGCTTTTAAATTTACCCTTGTAGGAATCTGTTAGTGTTAGTACCTGCTAAAAGCCTGTTACATTAACATCATGGGTAAAAACCTCATAGAGCCCCAGTGGAGATCTCCCAACCAGCACCACAAACACAGTATGTCAGTAAACCCGTACTTAGTCTTTCCAGGTTGGCAGAAACTCCAAGAGCTTGCACTCTTCTAGCATAAGTTTTTTTGGGAGTCAATGTTGAAGACCTGACTTAAAAGTGCTCAGACTCTCCATTGAGTTTCAAATTGAAGGCTTGGAATTAGGTGCTTAACTTAATTTCAGACTATTTTCAGACTCAAATCTGAGTGTCCCTTTTTCGAAACTATGGACATTATTTTAAAACGAGTGGATGTATTGTGCCAGAAAAAAAATCCCAACTAAAATCTTGCATCCACACGTATAAATGGATTGGTTTCATAATTACCCTGAGATTACTTTATGTAGGAGTCTGTAATAAAAAAAGTAAGGGTACACTCATAGTGTTTCATTAGTTTACAGCATAACATATAGTGAAGTAGGAGAAGAAATAATTCCTATACAGTAAGATAGATTATAATTTGATTTTGTGGGGCTATTTATAGAAGTATTTACTAATTGTTATTGATACATATAATAAATGAATAATAATTGTAATCAAATGAAGTAACATTTTTCTTGATTGTTAAGGCGGGCATTGGGATAATCTGCTTTGGGCTGAAACTTGTTTTGATTCCCCTTATTTCTGAAGTGCTTGTTAATTAAGATACTTTGATCCTAGATTAGCGTCTGGTACAAATGTTGTCTCAAGTCTGTCTCAGCTGGTTGACCTAAGGATCAAGCTCACCAGCTCATAGAAAGGACCTTGGAGGTCATCTCTTCCCACCCCCTCATTTTAGAGATGAAGAAAGAAGTTCAAGAAGGTTGTGAGTCATCCAAGGTTGCAGAGTTGAGAGTAACACCCAGTTCTAGTTTCTCATTTCATTGCTCTTTCCCACCATGCCATAAGATGTGGCTTTGCTGACAACTAAGATAATTTGACAAAAGCTAAAAACAAGAAAAAGCAGGTGGAAATTGGGATTTTAATCACTGTTTTATTTTCTGTATGTAAAATTGAGAAGTTTTATAAAATCTTTGTTTTCCTAATGAATCTTTCCTATAGAAAAATTGAGGTGAGAAGGGAATTATTGGAAATTAATTCAGAGTATTAGGTCTTAGAAAGGCTAGTATATCTTCAAGGTAACAGCCAAGTCTAGAAAGTGGATAAGGGATTAATTATTAGCTTTTCATGGGTGATCTGAAATTGTCACTTCACCCACTGAAGACTTTGCCCTCTAGGATAGAAAGACCTAGAAAAAGGAAGTGGGGTAGGAAACCTGAGCTCAGAAGGGGAGGGGTGGAGGAGGAAAACATTCTCATGGAAGGGTCACCGAGAAACCTTAAGATCTAAATTGGAATTCAAGTACTCTAATGGGGCTGTTTTGGAGGGGGAGAGATGATGCCTCAAAGACAAAATGAGACCTCCTCGGTAATCAGGAGCCAAGAAAAGTGATAGGAGTTCCATGAAAGTGAATAAAGACAGAGCATTTTTAGATCTAAGACTTCGGCTGTAGTTTTGGACTTCAGACAAAGCTGAGAACCTAACAGTATGAGACTGGAGATAGAGAGGGATGCCAATAAAGAGTTATTTGGATGTTGTGTGTGTTTTACATGTCCATAGATTGTGCCAATTCAGAGGGATTGAAGGAGGCAGGATAAAATTTCAATTCAGAAAAGCCATTTCACTTGCACTATATCCAAAAGAATCTGTTAATATCCTTTGTAATCTACATGGTAACAGTGTAAGGTTCTTTCAAACCTTTGATGGGATCGCTTGACTTTACCTGGGGCCAGGAGTATGGTGATTAGTTATGTTTATATAGCAGTTGAATACCTACAAAACTCTTTTTTCAGGATAGCCCACAGTTCCCGTTTTACATAGGAAATACAAGGTCCAAGACCTGTACATATAGTCATACTGTCTGTAAAGTATGTGGGAAAGCAAGGTTGAAAACATACTGCTGAAAGATGCAGTAAAACAAGTCTATTTGTAATCTGTCTAAAAACATACCATCTCCAGTGAGACTTCCAGTGAGCACTTCGATGCCAGTGATCAGTTCTTTTTCTGACTTTGTTATACCTTGAAGCTGAACCAGAAAATCCAGCACTTGTATTCCATGTTTGTGGTTCTCCTCTAGACTGTAAATGAGGTAATCTGAAAAATAAGATCTCTAGTGTCCGTTTGCATATGACATGTAGCACAATGAAGTACACATTCACAGTGAGTACACAATAGATACATGCTTACTGACTTGACAATCCTTGTGTGTGCACATGCTAGATTATTCTGATATTTTATCCTTGGGTGTCAATTTAACATTTGTATATCATTGTTACCATTTCCCTCTTTTTCACTCTTTATTAATTTGAATTAAACTGTAGAACTATGGTAGTGGTAATGCCATGGTAATTCCTTCTCCCTCAAGTTTTCATTTTCTACTTGGAATAATCAGAAGATGGCTAACTTGGATTGGAACATGAAGTATCAAGACGGAATAATACAGATTTGCTCTCAGACATTAGTAAGTCCAGTATAGATGACTAAAGAAAGCATAATTCACTTTTAGGAGATACATTTACCCAAAGTAGTTTTGCATGGGTCTGAAAAACATGTCAAACTCATTTGCACTTGCAAGCAGCGAATGCTCTTTCTCTGGCCAAGCAGCTCAAGTTTGGAAAGCAGTGCCATAGACTTAGAACTTTGTGGGTGGCTCCTGTGCATCAAACTCCTAGACACTGAGCAGAGGAACACATTGCCATGCATTGCCAGTTAGAAATAGAGACTTCCTGGCAGTGACCTCATCACTTAAGAGATTGTGAGCCAACACATCTTCGCTGCCGGAGCCACAGCTTTTCAAAATTTCAGGGAGTGTGGAGAGTGCAAAAAAGTTGAGATGGGTAAATCTATTCAAATAATGAGAATATTGCAAGCAGGGGGGCGGGAGGAGGGGTAAGAAGTAATGTTGAGATTGAGCTGGCTTCTTGTCTCTAAAAGGTCTGGTTGGCTACTAAGTTTGTAGTATACCCCCGAATACTGCATCTGGTTATCAGCAAATGAGATTTTATTAGGCTGTGAGCTGTAGTTTGAGGTCCTGACCATATCATGGAGTTTCTATAAGTAATTGTGCTGTGGGAGAGATGTTTTGAGAATGAAGATGCTTAATAATGAACCTTGTGAAAACTACTATTTTATTCCCTTTGGATTAATGACCACAAAGTTGTCTTGAGTGTTTCAAAAAAATATGTGTAGCTCAGAAATAATTGGTTTAGAAGAGAGAAATCACAAAAATTCAGAAGAGTTCTCATGAGAAATCCTTTTTTAAAAAAGTTTCTCCTTAAGAACTACATATTTTTTTCTTAAAAGTCAAAGGTTTAAGACTTGCCTGCAGAGTTATTTTGGGATGTTTTTCATCTTTCCATGAGGTGGCAGCAACTCTTAAGTAACCTGGGAAACCCAGACTCCTGGCCTGTTGGGAGGGCAGCATGGGAAGAGAGCTCTGACTTCCTAACTTGTACCGG